GAAGAAAATCTGGAAGAGCAGTTGAAAGCGAAAGTACATACTCTTATCTTTAAAAGATTGCAACTAAACTACCAGGGCTTTTGCCCATGAATATATTTAATTGGAGAACGTGAATGATGACACCCAGCCCATGAAAAAGCTCAATTGGAGAATCCGGTTTATGAGATACCTGGGGGGGGGGGGGGGGGGGAAACAGGATCACAGATGACTGTAAATTATGTATGCCAGAGTTGGCGTCATACAGGGCAGTGCCAGTATGTCGCCTCTAATGAATCCTTTGAAGTTTTTTGAAGTTTGTCTCGAGGATCATGATTTAATTAGGGCGATTGCTGGAAACCATACAATGTGATCCTGATCATGTGATCATGACCATCACAGCCTCTCCATGGTCATATGGCTTCCCCACTGACCTTGCTTGTCAGAAGGTCACAAAAGGAGATCACATGACCTTGAGACACTGCAACCGTCATATATGTGAACCAGTTGCAAACATCTGAATTTTGATCATGTCACCATGTAGGAAGCTGCAGTGGTGCTCCTTAGTGTGAAAAATGCTCATCATAAGTCTCTTTTTTTCAGTGTTGTTGTAACATCAAACGGTCATTAAATGAAAGGTTGTAAGTCAAGGGCTACCTGTGGTTGCCAGGAGTAGTGAGATGGTCCAACAATTCTGAAGCATTATGCATGGGAAACATGGGTGCCATTAAACACAGATGGCAATTTCCATGGGCAGCCACCAAGCTCGGAATGACTAGCATAGAACATTCTTTTCATTTGCCAGTACTCCAGTATAAATAAATGTTTGGAATGTTGTAAAAGTAAAAAGTGAGAGATAGTTCTGTGTGCTGAAAATAGAGCCACTTCAGAGTTGGTTTGTTTTGTGAAGAACTTTGATCCTCCCATTTGCCGTGCTGGAAATGTTTATTTTGGGGGACACAGATGGAGGTAGAGCAGGGGTGTAAAACTCAAGGCCCGGGGGCCAGAGGGGTGCTTAGATCTGGCTCATGGGGCTGCCCTGGAAACAGCCAAGGACCGCCCCATGGGGTCTCTGCCAGCCAAAATGGAGTTTGGGAGAGCTGTGGACGGCCCTCCCGAGCTCCGTTTTCGCTGGCGGAGGATTGCAGGAGGCCGTCGCAGCTAGAAACGGAGCTTGGGAGCCCGTTTTCACTGGCAGAGTGCTTGGGCCGCCACAGGCGCCCCTAACACAAGTGACGTCGAGCTGCCCCCCCCCCCCCCCCCCCCCCGAGGTGTCATGCCCTTGATGGAAACTGACTCTGAGGGAGAGGAGGAACAGCCAACAGGGAGTGGAAGTGTGGCTCTGGAGGTTGTGGAGGAGGCTGGGGAAGGGCAGAGGCCAGCTGAGCAGTCAGAGGAGGACCCAGGCCCATCCTAGGGCATGCAGGGAGGAGAGGATCAGGGAAAAACGAGGTCTACTCAGGAGGAGAGGGCCATGATCCTCTTCATGGGTTGCCAGTGTGAGATCTGCATAAGAGTTTGGACCTGCGTGCTAACAAACATTGGGGACAAATTAGTGTTTTATTCCTGGATGAGGTTTATCTTGGTTGGTGTTCTTCCAACGGACTGTACCTGGTTATCTTCCTGAAGTTTGTAATTATTTATCCTGGTCTGTTGTGGAACTTTCTTCAGTGCAGTTTGTTTTTGGTTTTTGCTTCGTTATCCGCTTTTTGAATTTGAACTGTGTTTTCTTTCGTTTTGGAATGTTATTTTGAAAATAGTTTAATCTTCAACTGTGAACAATTAAACAGTAAAGCCAAGTTTAAGGCATTAAAGGACCTTTATTTACGTTTTGGTTTTTGTTATATTTTTGATACACTCTGGGTCATCACACGAGGTCAAACACAACCCTGATGAGGCCCTTGATGAAATCGAGTTTGCCACCCCTGGTATAGAGCAACCAAGATCAAAAATACTTAACAGTGTTTCTCAACCTTGGAGAGGTATAGACTTCAAACTCCCAGAATTCATGCTAGCTGGGGAATTCTGGAAGTCAAAGTCCACACTTCTTTGAGTCGCCAAAGTTAAGAATCACTGATAGTTAACATGGCGGAGATTCCAGCTGTGAGTCCTTCATATTGTGTCTCCTTAGTTGGGTTTTATTTTTGGTATTTGTTTAATGTGACTGAGCAAAAAGAGCTTGTCAGGATTTTACAACTGTGCCACATGCTGCAAAGCTCTGGCTCATCATTTTTGGAATGCTTGCCTTACCCTAACATGTGCTGTCTCAGCCGACCCAGGCATTGCCTTCTGGGGTATTTCAGCTTCTGAGCCAATGTAATGTCATCACTTCTAATCTCACGCCTGTGCTGTATGATGGCTTTTCAAACTGACATCCGATCTTCCAGGGCAAATGCTGAGCATCACAGCATGAAGCTCAGTGGTCAGGATAGGATAGGAAACTGTGTGTGCCTCACGCAGCCTGTGCGTCTTTTACTCGGGGGTAACCCTTACTCCCAAGTAAGTCTATCAACAACCTATTCTCCAAAGCATCTGAAGGCAGGACAAGAAGAAACTGATGGAAACTTACCAACTGCAGCCTTAGCTGTAATGTACTGGATTTTTTTGCAAGTAATCCTTGACTTACGACCACAACAATAGTAAGGTTCTACATTTAGGCAAGAACAATCAAATGCACAGGTACAGTATATATGGTACCTTGCTCAATAGTAGTGACTGTGAGAGGGATCTTGGAGTCCTAGTGGACAACCATTTAAATATGAGCCAACAGTGTGCAGCAGCTGCCAAAAAAGCCAACACAGATCTAGGCTGCATAAACAGAGGGATAGAATCAAGATCATACGAAGTCTTAATACCATTTTATAATGCCTTGGTAAGGCCATACTTGGAATACTGCATCCAGTTTTGGTCGCCATGATGTAAAAAAGATGTTGAGATTCTAGAAAGAGTGCAGAGAAGAGCAACAAAGGTGATTAGGGCAGGGGTTGCCAACCTTTTGAACCTCAGGGACCACCAAACTCATAATTTTAAATCCCACAGACCAGAGATCCTGGGAAAATTAAAAAAAAATGCAAGAATATTCCCCACCGTTTTCCTACTGATTGATCATTCTTTATTTGGGATCATAGGATACCGTCTCCAGCCGTTCTCAGGGGGGAAAGAGAGAGAGAGACTTTTCGCTTCATGCAAGGAAAGCAGCAGAAGCAGCAGAAGTCTTTCTTTCTCTCCCCCAAACTCCACCAAAAATGAGTCTTTGCTGGCACAGCCTCTTGGAGCAGGAGGCCTTGCAGGGTCCCAAAGACTCATTTTTGGCGGAGTTTGGGGGAGAGAAAGAAAGACTTTTGCTGCTTTCCTTGCGTGCAGCCAAAAGCAGAAGAAGAAAGAAGCGGAAAGAAGCAGCCCGGTGGCCAGGCAAGGTGCGTGGGGCAAGTGGGACAAGTTCCCCCCCCGCCCTTTCTCCCCTCCCCTCACTACCTCATGTTGTTCGCAATGCAAGTGACACAAGCCTTGTGTTCCTGCGCAGCCTAGATTAATTGCTTTGGGGGGGGGGTGCTTTGGGGATGACATTTCTCTGAGGACCACCAAAATTCTCTCGCAGACCACCAGTGGTCCCTGACCCATTGGTTGGCAACCATTGGATTAGGGGACTGGAGGCTAAAACAGATGAAGAACGGTTGCTGGAACTGGGTATGTCTAATTTAATGAAAAGAAGGACTAGGGGTGACATGATAGCAGTGTTCCGATTTCTCAGGGGCTGTCATAAAGAAGAGGGAGTCAAGCTATTCTCCAAAGCACCTGAGGGCAGGACAAGAAGCAACCTGGATGGAAACTAATCAAGGAGAGAAGCAACCTAGAACTAAGGAAAGTTTTCCTGACAGTTAGAACAATTAATCCGTGGAACAACTTGCCTCCAGAAGTTGTAAATGCTCCAACACTGGAAGTTTTTAACAAAATGTTGGATAACCGTTTCTCTGAAGTGGTGTAGGGTTTCCTGCCTCAACAGGGGGTTGGACTAGAAGACTTCCAAGGTCCCTTCCAGCTCTGTTATTCTATTCTAATTGAGCCCAACATTTGTATTTTTAAGCGAGACATTTATTAAGTGAGTTTTGCCCCATTTTATGACCTTTCTTGCCACAGTTGTTAAGTGGATCACTGCAGGTGCTAAATTAGGAACACAGTTGCTAAGAGAATCTGGCCTTCCCATTGACTTTGCTTGTCAGAAAGTTGCAAAAGGTGATCACATGACCCCAGGAACCGTCATAAATAGGAGTCATATGCCAAGCGTCTGAATTTTGATCACATGACCGTGGGAATGCTGCAATGGTTGTAAGTGTGTCATAAGTGCTGTTATAACTTCAAATGGTCATTAAATGAACTGCTGTAAATGAAGGATTACCTGCTTTGGAAATGTATTGGAATTAGAAGATGCACCCAGCTATTATTTGGGGGGTATTTTCCTCTTATATACATCTATGTGGTGAAAATGCCCCCTCTCTCTTAAATATAGCAAAAAACAAACAAACCTCCATTATAATGAAGTTGAATCCCAAAAGTGCTTTTTCAAGAGGCAACTAGACTTTCTAGTTTTTCTTTGAAGACGTTTCCCTTCTCAGCCAAGAAGCTTCTTCAGCTCTGACTCATTCTTCAGCTCATTTTCCACCATCCAGTCAGAGCTGAAGAAGCTTCTTGGCTGAGAAGGGGAACGTCTTCAAAGAAAAACCAAAAAGTCTAGTTGTCTCTTGAAAAAGCACCTTTGGGACAACTATGTCCTGGATGACTTGAGAATCTCCATAGACAATGGATTTGAATGTTAAGCTCTGGTTTTTAAAAACAACAATGCCATTTAGTGTCACCTCATCTGTCATTGTTTCAGCTCTTTTATAGAAAGGCTCAAGAAAATAAACTGACTCTGCTTCTTAAGAAAGTGTTTTACTTACAAAGGTAGACAAGCGTCACAAATGTCTCCAGGAAAACAAGCAACTTTTGTTTTCCCATTCAAATTATATTTCTCATTTTTCCATCAGACTCATGTTTCTGGATCAACTTCCTCTTGCTCATCACTTGGCAGACCCTTGCAGAAATCAGTGAAGAGGAAGCTGAAGGTGGATTTTGAAAGGTAAGAGGCCTCTTAATCAAATATTTTTTTTCATGGGTTGTGGCTGTCATTAAGAGAGAGGATAAAGAATTAAGGTACAATGGAAAATAAACCTACTGATTTTGTTTAGAGATGAGATCCTAAACTAAAGGATACACGTGGAATCCCCAACACAGTTGTGGAGTGCCACAAATACTTCATTCCTGAAATATGCACGGTAGGAGGGACAGGTAGCTGCAAAAAACTGGACTTCCTTTGTTTTTCCTTGAAGACATTTCGCTTCTCATCCAAGAAGCTTCTTCAGTTCTGAAGATGAAGCTTCTTGGATGAGAAGCAAAACGTCTTCAAGGAAAAACAAAGAAAGTCCAGTTGCCTTTTGAAAAACCACATTTGGGACAACCATGACCCGGATGTCTGGGAATCTCCATAGACATTTAACTGCAAAAAAGGTAGCATATAAGAAGGTCTTTGTTGTTGTGGTTTGAGGAAACATCTGGATACCTTTTTAGTAAGTGTCAGGTAGGCAGTTGCAATGTCTGAAATTATGTTGCAGACAACTGCTGTGTTTGTGTGCCCAAGCATTTTTCAGAATTCATGTGTGAACTTAATCATCTGATCATCATCAACCAAGTTCACAAAATCATCACATCCGGCTGTGTGTGTTTGTGGCTCAGCACACTGAAACAAACAAAATGTTAACAAGTTACGATATTTATGTAGTTACCCTACTTACCAAGCCACATCTAAATATCTTTACAATCCCCAAGGCACGTTATAACTTTTGAGCACCCCTAATGTTTTGGAAATTGAACCTTGAAAAATTTGACACGGCCTATCAGTGTAGGTTAACATTCTCTACAAACTAGACCATAATAACTTTTTCAATAAACTCTGGCTGAAGAAATCCTTCTTTATGCCAACCTAACTGATGCTAGAGATATTGACTCAGCTGTAGGAGTAACAAGCAACTACAAGAGCACCTGAGCTTTGAGAAGAATCTGAAGAGGGTATGTCCAGATACATAGAAAACACATCTCTTGAAATATCAGTGGAGGACTGAATGTTGGTGCTGTGTCATGGCTGTGCCTGTGAGTTATGCTTGTGGCATTGTCATCAATCTGGATAAATCCCTTTCCTCTCAGCTTTCAACAAGTTGTTAGTTGCGAAGTCATGTCCAACCTATCATGACCCCATGGACAACGTTCCTCCAGGCCTTCCTGTCCTCTACCATCCCCCAGAGTCCATTTAGGCTCACGCCGACTGCTTCAGTGACTCCATCCAGCCACCTCCTTCTCTGCCATCCCCTTCTTCTTCTTTTGCCCTCAATCGTTCCCAGCATTATGGCTCTTCTCCAGGGAGTCCTTCCTTCCTTCTCATTTAGGTGGCCAAAGTCTTTGAGTTTCCTCTTCAGGATCTGGCCTTCTAAAGAGCAGTCAGGGTTGATCTCTTCTAGGACTGACCAGTTTGATCGCCTTACAGTCCAAGGGACTCGCAGGAGTCTTCTCCAGCACCAGAGTTCAAAGGCCTCAATTCTTTGGCGCTCAGCCTTTCTTATGGTCCAACTTTTATAGCCATACATTGCTACTGGGAAAACCATAGCCTTGACTATACGCAGTTTTGTTGGCAGGGTATTTTGTCAACAAGTGTATTGGGCACTAATTCTAGAATATTCATTGAAGACTTTCAGGGAAATGGCAAACTGAAGATTGCTCTGCTAAAAGTGAAGCCAGTGCTGCGGCAGAATGAATAGTTAGCAAGTTGATTGGCTCTTCTTAATTCCTCTCTGGACAAGGAGAGGACTTGAGATTGCTCACAAGTGCCCCGGGCTGTTTTTCCTCAAGAGGAGATTGCAAGAGAGCTCTGGGAGATGAGGAATAGCCATCTTTGCTCAAACTATGGTCAGCCTTTATGGACACTGAGTTCACATTTCTTTTTTTCCAATCACATTTGGAAATTGTTTGTTAACTCTTTTTGAGCTATTAGGAATTTTTATGATAAATTTACAGTTCTGGGTGATTTTCCTTCAATCTTGCAGTACAAGTCAAAAGATTTAACTTTTTTTTAAACAAACAGCAAAAGGGTGATTAGAATATTCATTCCGGAAAGTTACACATTGACTAAGAGTCCAGATGGATTTGAAATTAGAGTGAATTAAATTGGAATTAATTAAAATAATCCTTCTGTGGGAAAATGCATTTGCTTTGAATTCTTTAAGATGCTGTGCAGGATATACCAATGAAACTGGCTGATGTCTTAATTAAAATGGGTTTGCAAATAAATCAAAAGAGTGACTTGGATAATTTTCCTATATTGGATTTACAAAAGAGACTCATTAACGCTTTGAAGAATTTTACGAGAACAAAGAAAAAATGAAAAGAAATAAAATTCTAGGGCATTATTTGAAGGTATTAAAGATCAAGATCATTAAAATGAAGGAATATAAAGATGGTATTATTTGATCAAAGGTAAAATAAATAAATTGTCATCTTCAGAAACCCTTAATGGGCTTTTTCTGATCAGGATTGAATGACAAGACTTTAAGGATTTATTTATAGATTAAGAGATCATTAGTTGTATTTTAAGAGAAACTGATAATTTACTAAAATTATAGTTGTTATCATGAAAGAAGTCACTTCTTTATATAGTTTTCATTTTTGTTAGAATATTTTTCCTTTTTTGTACTTTCTATATTTTATTACTACTGTGTTTTTATCTTTTAAATTGTAACATTTAATAAAATTACTATACAAAAAGATGATGAAATTATCCACTGGGTAAATCCTATTCTCATCTAAATCCTTACTATATCTTGCTGAATTAATTCAGGTTAAAAAAAAATTAGAACATTCATGGAAGAGATCAGCCTCCAATGAATACACCATTTATTAACTCAAAATTCTTTTTTTAAAGTTGGGGTTGGGAGGAAAATGCATCTTGCCTTAAAATATGCCTGATCTCCGTAGAGTTGTAATTTTGGCAGGTTCTAAGAACAAGCTCAGTAGTGTTCCTATGGCTTAGAGGAGGCCGTGTTTTATATATTTATATACTTGCATACGTACCCACACACATTGTGGCTCCAGTGTGAAATGTATAAGCAGGTGGCACATTAAAACACACGCATGATTTCCTTCCAGGAAGGTTTCCACCGGCTTGTGTTTTCACTGGCTGGCCCTGCCCTTGTTCGTCAGAGGGCCATTCAGCAAGCGTGGCCATCTGAGAAGGGAGATGGAATAAAATTGTAGCTTCTGGATTGCACCCAGTTCTCTTCCCTATTGGACAAACCCTTGCCTGTGAAGGAAGCCCCTGTTTCCTTTGACTAGTTTTCCCTAACTTTGGCAGCTTTAAGATACATGGGCTTAGGTTCCCAGAATTCCCCGTAATCATCATGTCAAGTTTGAGAACTTCTGGCCTAGATGTTTGGTCAGAGGTATCAAATGCAAATAACTAGAAGTATTTGTGGAGTTCAAACCAGAGAAGAGTTTATTATTGCTGCTTTTGTACAAGAATCTAATGATCAAAGCTAAATTGGTGCTAGATAAAGATCAATGGAACTTTTGGGGGAGCTGAACTTAGCTCTCTTGTGGCAACACAATGACTCCAAACTGATGACATGTTTAACTCCGCCTTTTAGCTCTTCCTGCTTTTCTCCTACAGGAGGTTAGATGACCTCTGCTGTTGTCGATGATAAGCAATAATGCAAGTAGTCCTCAACTTACGATCACAACTGAGCCCAAAATATCTGTTGCTAAGTGAGAGAGTTGTTAAGTGAATTTTGCTCCATTTTACCACCTTTTACCTTTCTTGCCACAGTTGTTAAGCAGATTTGGCTTTCCCATTGACTTTGCTTCTCAGATTTTCGCAAAAGGTGATCTTATGTCTCCAGAATACTGCAATCATCATAAATATAGGTCAGTTGCCAAGCTTCTGAATTTTAATCACATGGCCATGGGGATGCTACAATGGTCATGTGAGAAATGGTCATAAGTCACTTTTTCCGGTGCTGTTATAACTTTGTACAATCACTAAATGAACTTGTAAGTACAATGATATAAAAACATAGAAAAAAATCTATCACTGAAGTAAAGTTGCATCTTACATGGATGGCCCCAGAACCAATCCCCTAGAAAAGCAAAGTATTTCCAACTTTCCTAAAGGCTGTAAAATGTGGGTTAAGATGTTATGCAAGGGAAACCGCCACAGAGTCACTGTTCCTCATTGGATCTTCTCCCATTAAACCTTTTAGGGGGGGCTCCTGAGATTATTTTCCTGGTTCCTGGATAGGGTTGGGAGATTTATTTCTCTGAAAATTGGTCTTGTAGATAGCCAGGCCCTAAATCATAAAGGATGTAGTAACTAGCATCCTGAATTACACTCAAAAGCACATGAAGCTCCCACAGCCTGGTAGAGCAAATTACAATAATTTCAGTCAGAGATGACGAGGACATGAATAACTTGGGAGCGAGTGTGAGAAATGGAGTTTCTGTGTGGCTTTAGCTGACTCACATGCTGAGCTATGAAACTGCATCTGTTTTGGAAGTTTAATATTGTAAGGCCTCAAATCTCTTGGTCAGGAAGAACTACTGCAGCTAATTCCAGTCCATGGCACATGTTTATTCAGTAGTAAATCCTTAAAATCAAAGCAACTGGTTTGAGATTATAACGCCAATACTGAACAGCATTGGTTCATTGAGGTGGACAGTAAGAAGTATATATTGTCTCTTTGGGGGTATTTAAAATGTCCTGCTAGCCATGCCACTGATTTTTGAAAATGATAGTGTGCTCTTATAATGTGTGTGTGCTTGTGTGTCAGGGGCCTAGTTGTGACTTGTTGATTTCCTGGAGTGTTTTTGCCACAGTTTTTAGACCTGACAAAAGGTTCAAGTCATCAGGATTTGGACACAAACTGCGGCAGGAAAAGTCTCTCAGTCCATTGCATTTCTTGATGGTGCTGGGAAACTGGGAAAAGTACATGTGGAGATGCAGCTGAACCCCTAAACATCACCCTGAATTTAGCAAAAGTG